GGACTAATTTGAACTCGAGTGATGTAAATTAAGTAACTTGGAAGAATTCGATTGGTACACATAATTAATTATTATCACACTATCGTGATTGAGATTAAATGGATAATTATAATGAACGCATGAATTCCAGCACTTTATTTAACTAACATACAAAAATTTAAACTTTTTCACTTGTGCGTCTTTTTATTATTTTAGTAGTTTTAGAGATTTGAGGACAAATATCAAAGTCAATTGTTTTTAATAAAAAAATTGAGCATAGGCATAATTAAATCCACAGTAAGATAATAGTTTTCATGTCAAGAATAATTTGGATTATTAGGTTCTCTTTGTTACTTGTTCATAAGATTGTACAATTGCTTAAGAAATATTCACTAGTTTTTTATTAGATCCTTTCAAAATCAATACCTCCCAGCATAGGCATTTTGGTGGTGTGGGATGAAGAGTTTCAGACGAAATGTAATCCTTTAGGGTACAAGTACAACGTGTTTCATCCATGGGATGACCATTTTCATTGTCAATTGGAACGACTATTTTTTTGTCGAGGTTGGAGTGAGTGAGTGTTGGTAAAGAAGATAATTGGCAGTGGGGGTGTCTGAGGTGGCATCCGGTGTTGGTGGCTGATTTTTAGCCATGGGGATAGGGTGAAGGAGAAACCATTTTTTTTGTTTATTTATTTAATGTTGTAATTTTAAACTTATCATTTTACTCCTTTCAATTTAGTCAAAATTGGTCAAAAGTCACTCCTCTTGATCAACTAACGGTCAAATAGATATTTTCCATCAATTTGGATTGCAGCTGTATATTTATGAAATGTCAAGGATTTTCGTTGACACAAAATGAAGATTAGAGTAAATTATGCAAAAATTGAAAAGATTAGAGACCACTGCTGCAATTTTTCCTTACATATTGTATAAGGTATACTGACATTGCCAATCATGTACCGTAGAATTCTTCAATCTTTAACCCAAGTCACGTTTGAATACCCTAATTGTGTACTCAAATGACTTTTTCCCCATGAATATTTGTCGAATCTATCAACACCATCAACCAACTGAAACCACAAGTAATGTATTCTTCTCCGTAGCTAAGAGGAAGTACGCCAAAATATCAAGAATGCCAAATTTGTACTTGTCTCCCTCATTTTTGCGAGCATTCAAGCAAGGACTATATTTAAATCCAGTCAAAAATGAAAATTGATCAGTATGATTAGATGCCCCAACTCCAAAATTAACAAGACATCTGCTCGCAGCATAACATTAAAATGGAAAATCAAGTTTTGTGGTCCGATTGTAGGGCAAAATCAAGCATAATATTTAAATGCCATTCTTTCATTCTCTAAATCCACTTTCTGATTTGAAAAGCCCAGAAAACACAAAGTATAAGCGAGAGTCAAACTCAAAACTAAGTATAGTAACTTAAAACTTGCAAGAAATGAAAATCAACACGAAGAATTGTTTCGACGGAATGTTACGTAGGTGATAGCTGGGGAAAGAAAGGAAGCAGATCAATCAGACAGCAGAAGAAGAAAGCCAAACCAAAAGTCAGGGAAGAAGAAGAACCAATGGGCAATTAATTCTTGAAACTGGAACACTGTCTTTTTACAGTAAAAAAAAATTCTTTTTTTTTTTTTTTTTTTTTTTTTTTAATTCAATTATGAAAATGGGACTTTTGCACAATGTGATTTTTCTGCAAAAAAATTTGTCATCAATTAGAGTGATTCCAGTCAGCTCCTTCTCCATTTTCTTCTTGTTTTATCATTTATCCCTTCCCCAATTCTGTTTTCTTCATTTGTTTGGTTACTATTTAACTGCTTTTAGTTGAATAGAGTTCATTGTAAGTTGCGGTGTAGGAAGAGCAGCAGCAGAGATCCAGATCGTGACAAATTGGTATTAGAGCGCGCGTACACTACTGGGTAATTGCTAATCATGGACACTAGAGCCAAAGTTGTGGGTGAACATTTGAAGAAGCTAGACTTAGAGATGGCATATTTAGGTACAGCATTTAAGATTGTGACTGGTAGATTGGAGGGTAAATTGGAAGCCACAAATCAAACCCTCTAAGTGTGGTCACCAATAAGAGAAAATCGAGTATACTATCCTAGACATGAATCAGAAGTGCGAGAAAATGGTGGCTATGATGGAACAAATAGCAATTGACCTAAGAGACCATAAGAAAAAGGGAGTGGAAAGCCCCTGTGTCCAACCAAAGAGATGGTAGTGAGCTGACACTAAAAGGTTCTAGTGGCCAAGAGAGGGATAACCAGGCTAAGGGTGATGCTAAGGGAGATACTAAACTCCCTAAAATTGACTTCCCTCACTTTGGAGGAGAAGGGCCTAGGGAATGGCTTAGGAAGGCAAGGAAGTACTTTCAACTTCATCAAATCCTAGATGAGATGAAATTGGGCATTGCTAAAATGTATTTAAAGGGCAAGGCAGACCTATAGTTTGATGGCTTCATTGCTAGCCATCCTAATGCAGACTAGG